ATACATCTCCACAAACTGTTATTTTTTACAAAGTTTTATCTAATGTTTATTTATTTGAGAGAGAGAGAGTGCAAGCAGGGAAAGGGCAGAGAGAGGGTGAGACACAGAATCCGAAGTAGGCTCGAGGCTCTGGGCTGTCGGCCACAGAGTCTGACGCGGGGCTCGAACTCACAAACCGCGAGACCGTGACCTGAGCCAAAGTCAGACGCTTGACTGACTGAGCCACCCAGGTGTCCCTGTGTGAGCCTCAAGAGGTGTCGCCCCTATTGGGCTGTCAGCTCTGTGAGGACAGACGTGGGTCTGTTGGGCTCACTGCAGTGTCCCTGCAGTCAACACAATGCCTGTGATGTAGGAGGCCCTGCGTACATATTTGCTAAATGAGTGAATGTGCTGGAAGCGCAGATGGGTTGTAAAGAGTCATCATGTACGATGGCGACGCACGGGCCACAGTAGCGGATTTGCTCTCCATGGCTGGCCTCAGGCTGACCTAGACTAAGTGGGAGCTGATAGAAAGCCAGCGTTGAGGCAAGATGCAGCAATTCATTAACCACAGGAAATGAGGGCCCAAGGCCCCAATGGAGGAGACCAGGGCCTGAGGAGCCCATCGGAGTGAAGGAGGAAGTGTGTGTGTGTGTGTGGGGAGGGGTGGTTTGAAGGGTCTGCATGCTCTTGTGTGAGTGGTGGTCTGGGTTGGAAATGAGCTGGGCCAGGCATCCTGAGAGGCCGCCCTGGTAGGGTTGATCCGATTTAGCAAATAAAAATGCCCGACCCCGACTTACATCTGAATTTCACGAGAGCAACAAGTCATTTTGTAATAGGAGTACGTCCCATGTATTGCACAGGACAGACTAGAAAGTGATTTGGGCTGTCTGAAATTCAGATGTACCTGGGCATCCGGCATTTTACCTGACAACCGTCACTCGGGACCCCCTCTGTTTCAGGAACACTTATGCCAAACCAGAGTCAGGTGCAGAAACGCTAGAACGTTCAGGGGGCTGAAGCAGTGAAGTTTCCCATGCGTTTCTTTTTCAGGTTATTGAGGGGACAGGAGGCAAAACAGGCACTAAGTGGGGCTGCAGATGGGAGGGAGGGTCAGAAATGCTCTGCTCCAGGCCCGGCCCAGGACCAGGAGGGCAGTGTCTTCTAGGAGTCCCCACCTAATGAAACAGCAAAGATGTGCCTGCAGAGGGATGGCCTCATCCCAAGCAGGCACCCTGCTAAACACCAGGAAAGACAAAGTCCTGGCCCTGCCCTCGAGGGGTCTGGAGGCTGATTTATCAACAGACTGTTCAACAAAGAGTCAGGCGTGCTGGGAGAAGCTCCCTGCAGAAGACAGAAAATGAGGTGGCCAGAGGTGGCCTTCCCTGGATATTTCTCTCTGGTTTTCCCCATCAGTCTAAGCAGAAAAACGATATCTACTTCTACAACCAGTGTCTTTATCCATCTTCTTGACAATTGACTATCCTCTGACTCCTTCTTCCCAGTTTTGAATCATCCACAGAGAGAATCCCGAGCAGGCTCCTCACTGTCAGTGCAGAGCCCGACGCGGGGCTTCATCCTGATCATGACCTGAGCCGACATCAAGAATCAGACGCTCCACCACTGAGCCACCCAGGTGCCCCTGGATCATCCACAGATTTTATCAGAAGGTCAGCAGGGTTCTCATCCAAGTCATTAATAAAAATACTCAGTAGGGGAGTAAAGATACAACCCTACAGCACTCTACAGATTTGCCCCAGGCTGATCCTAATCAAAATTCTTTTGATATAAATGATCAGCAAGCTACAAATCCCCTTCCTCTGCTGTCATGTATCCTACCCATCTCCATGAGGACGTGAGGCTTCCTCATGACGATATCATAGGTGCCTTGATCAAATCCAGAAATGCTAGCAAACTATAGCTCCATTAGAGGGTGATCACTCTCAATACCATCCAGGCAGCAGTGGTCACAATAACAATAATAAATAAGAGAATATATATATTTTTTTGTCTTCACTCTCCTTTGTTGTCCTTTCTATCCAAGACGCAGTAAACTTCACTAAACTAAGAGGAAACCCTAATCGGTTTATCTTAAGTTCAAGGAAAAATTACCCTGCCAGGAACAACTCTTGGGGAGTGTGCGCGGGGCAGGGGTGGGGGGTGGCAGGGCAGGGGGGGGAATGGTCATGGTTTATCCAGAGATCAGTAAAACGAATTTTAGATACAAAGAGTGACTTCGGTTTAAAGTACAGGCAGTTTCCAGCTTATCATCAGGTTTTGATCCAGAAGTTTGTTTTCAAGTTGGCTGTTGAGCAAATACAAAATGTACTCGACAAGCAGTCTGACAAACACTGATTAGGTTCCCTGCTCAACCCCAACAAGCCCTTTATCGGCAGTGAGGCTGAGATTGTAACTGAGCCCCAAGTTTCTTCGGGCTCCCAGCTCTGAGCCCCTTCCTATCCAGGGGGAGGTCTGGGCAGTTTCCCTCCTCTGCACGTGGGACTCAGCAGGCAGCTGCCTGTATGCAGGGATTAGTTTTAAGCCCACTGTCTATAACTTAAAGACATTTTTCAGTGCGTAGTCCCCTCTTTTAGGGGACTTTCCAGCAGGAACGGTGTCCCCATTCCTCATGTCACCCCATCAGTGTCTGTAGATTCCCATCTCGATGGGTGCCAGAGCCTCATTTTGCCTGGGGACAGGTGGCAGCCATTTCTCCAAACTGCCTTCTTAAGCCCACAGCATTAGGCTCTAGAAATCCATCCTTCTCCTAATATTTTACTACTAGAGATTGAAGAGAAGTAGCAGAAAACACAGAAGGTGAGATATAGGAATGTTGGCTGACGGCTGCTGTTCACAAGCATCCCTTTACAGTTTGTTCTCTGTACACATAGGCTCTGGGGATCTAAGAGAGAAAAGCACTTAGAAATAGTTAAAACATTACCAACCGGGGTGGCTCCCGGTCCAGTGTGCGTGTGTTGCTTTGTCCTTTCTCATGGGGCCGGCAGAAGTGTAGGTCGGCTTCTTATGACCAACTATCACCTCAGTCTGAACAGGAAATCTGGTTGGGGGAGCTGCGGAGAAAGCAGAAGCCGGGAACGATGTGAGCTGAGCCACAAGGATGTTCTCAGTTCTCAGCACTGCTTTGACAGTGCTAGTCTCACCTGCTTTGACAGCAACTAGTAGCTCCTGCTAACACATTGCCTCTCAGAGGTTTCCCCTCTCCACTGTTTTGGCCAGGCAGGTTTGTGCTATCCCTGGGCTGGGCCTCCCCGTGTTGCAAGTGTAAGGGCAACCTTGTTCTCGTCCAGTATCTAACCTGAAACCCCAAAAATGGCCTGAGTTTAAAAGGTGGGGGAGAGGGGCGCCTGGGTGGCTCAGTCGGTTGAGCGTCCGACTTCGGCTCAGGTCATGATCTCACGGTTCATGGGTTCCAGCCCCGCGTCGGGCTCTGTGCTAACAGCGTAGAGCCTGGAGCCTGCTTCGAATTCTGTGTCTCCCTCTCTCTCTGCTCCTCCCCTGCTCATGCTCTCTCTCTCTCTCCTTCGAAAACAAAAACAAAAAAGGTGGGGGAGATAGGGAATCCTAAAACCGTAGATGACAGGGGCCGTGACATCTACCCTCCATAAAGCTCCAGCAGATTATTTCTTAGGTATGTAAAAACTTCATGTTGTGTCTATGCATCCCCTACAATCTTTTCCTAGTGAGTTATGATGGCTCACACTTCAGTCAAGAAGTGTATAGAGCTTCAATAAAGTCCTTGTTGAAATAAATGAAATTATGGCGAGGGCCCAGACCTCAGCTGTTGAGAGTTTAGGGAAGGGTGGAGGATGGGGAGTCTGGGCCAGGCCTGATAGAGCCGCCTGTGAAGGTCACGCCCCGGAAGGGTCAGGCCAGGTGTTAAGGGTTAGACACGGCCTGGGTCATGAAGTAGGCAGAACAGGAGGAGTGCCCAGTGCAAGGACCGACAACAGACAGGTGCAGATCACATCAGAACTCTTATAGGAGTGGGCAGAGAGCACTTGCGGCTTCCAGGCAAGAGTTGGAGATGCCCAGAAAACCGACAAGGCTCTTCTAAAAATAAGTCATGACAGTTGCACCTGGTTTCTTTTGTTGTCAAGGTCACTAGATTGTCAAAACCATAAAATCCTGTAGGTACAGGGCTCCTCGATTTTAGCAAGACATCTAGCCAGGTCTGTCCCGAAGCCCTTGTGGAGAAGTATGTGCAATCTGCGACTTGTGGGACAATTAAATCAGGAGAGTTTTTAATCAGGAGCGTCTGGGCGGCTCAGTCAGTTAAGTGGCCAACTTAGCGGCTCCGGCCATAATCTCACAGTTCTGGGTTCGAGCCCCGCATCGGGCTCTGTGCTGACAGCTCAGAGCCTGGAGCCTGCTTGGGATTCTGTGTCTCCTTCTCTCTCTGCTCCTCCCTCGTTCATGCTCTGTCACTCTCTCTCTCTCTCTCTCTCAAGAATAAATAAACATTAAAAAAAATTAAAAACAAAACAACGTTAAACTTCTGACCTTAGTTCCCAGAGACCACTGAAGCAGGCTCCAGGCTCTGAGCTGTCAGCACAGAGCCCGAAGCAGGGCTTGAGCCCATGAACCGTGAGATCATGACCTGAGCCAAAGTCGGACGTTCGACTCACTGAGCCACCCAGGCGCCCCTGGGAAGGTTTTTAAAGACAGCTGAGGGAGGGAGGGCATGTTTCTAGAGGGCTGTGGAGTACCCTCTGGGCCAACGTTGGGCAACACAGCCTCCAGCAAGAAAGCAAGTGTGCAGGCCAGTTCCCCGGGGACTCCAGCGGCCACGTAAGCCACTCTCCTCTCCAGGGGGAGCGTGTACCTGTTGAACATCTCTTCATCTTACTGATAAATAAGCTACTAAGAAGGCAAATATTTGTCAAAACCAACACCTGGTGGGTCAGAGCAGTGTTCCTGCTGATTGCCAAGGTTAAACACAAAGAGAAAGGAAAGAAGAAAGCTGTTGTCATTGTGAACGTGGTTAAGTGGCTTCTGTTGATTGTGGCGGGGGAGGGGGTAGTCACAGTTCTGGCTGGATGCTAGGAAGGGCCATGCAACAATGAACATGCATCTGTGTCCCCATTGTAGAAACTTGAGATCTGTCTGACCACTCAAACAGCAAGCAGGACAGGAACAAAAACAAAAACAAAATGTAGCCTAAGAGCTCAAGTCTCATGTGGAGCCAGCAAGGGTGGCAGAATGACAAAAGTTCTGGATGTGCCACACACACCCAGAAGAAAGGAGCCCATCTGGGAGTGAGCAAGACTGATTGGTTGACTTTGAGAGGGCCGGCCTGGACTTGATTTTGAGGGAAAGGCCTCAGTACTGGGACTTTCTCTGGGAAGTGGGATTCTCCCCTCTAAGTCCCCTTCAAACAACCTTCAGTGAAGCCCTGCCTTATTTTAAATTGACTTGGAGAGGCGTTTCTGCTCATTGACTTGGAGAGGGGTTTTTCAGGAGACAAACAAGACTCTCAGAGAGGTTAGTACGCTTGCCCAAGGTCCCACAGTCAGTTTAAGTGGTAAAGTCTGTTGGAGTGTTGGATGCCTGACTCCAAGGCCTGAACTCCTTGTACAAATGCCTCTAGAAGAAAAGCATTTCAGGGGTGCCTGGGTGGCTCAGTCGGTTAAGCGTCCAACTTCGGCTCAGGTCATGATCTCGCGGTTCATGGGTACAAGCCCTGAGCTGGGCTCTGTGCTGACAGCTCAGAGCCTGGAGCCTGCTTTGGATTCTGTGTCTCCCTCTCTCTCTGCCCCTCCCCTGCTCGCACCCTGTCTCTCTCTCTCTCTCTCAAAAATAAATAAATGTTGAAAAACATTTTTTTTTTTTTTTTAGTTTTAACAAAATCAAAAGAAGAAGAAGGAGGAGGAAGAGGAGGAGGAGGAGGAGGAGAAGAAGAAGAAAAACATTTCAGGACTTCTTGAAATGCCCCACAATAGGAAAATCTTCGGCTTTGAACAAACACCAAAGGGGTCAGAGTGTGAAAAAGGTGAAGAACACAGAGTATAAAATATTTATTTACCAAGGTTATTCTAGGATGTAATCCTTCAATTTGTTCTATACAACTGTCTTGCTGTTTCCTGTTTCTTTATAACTTCACTACCCGATTAAACAAAATTAAAATAAATAGATGCATACAAATAAAAAAGGCAGCCAAGTTAGGGTATGAGAATATGCACAGGAAACAGTGCTAATAGACAGACATGAGATTCATGTGATTTAGGACCAAGCTGGGAGCCCGTGTAAACATTTCTAATATTGAGAATGTGAGAACACATGGGGCTTTCTAAATGGATCCCTCACAAACCTCAATGATCTGCTTTAATTAGAGCTGTTTACTTTTTTAATGTTTATTTATTTTTAATTTTTTAATGTTTATTTATTTTTAATTTTTTTTCAATGTTTTTATTTATTTTTGGGACAGAGAGAGACAGAGCATGAACGGGGGAGGGGCAGAGAGAGAGGGAGACACAGAATCGGAAACAGGCTCCAGGCTCCGAGCCATCAGCCCAGAGCCTGACGCGGGGCTCGAACTCACGGACCGCGAGATCGTGACCTGGCTGAAGTCGGACGCTTAACCGACTGCGCCACCCAGGCGCCCCAATGTTTATTTATTTTTGACAGAGAGACAGAGAGACAGAGCATGAGCAGGGGAGGGGCAGAGAGAGACACACACACAGAATCCGAAACAGGCTCCGGGCTCCGAGCTGTCAGCACAGAGCCCGATGCAGGCTCGAACTCACAGACCGTGAGATCATGACCTGAGCCAAAGTCGGACGCTCAACCGATTGAACCACCCAGGCGCCCCAAATGTTTATTTGAGAGAGGGAGAGAGAGTCCCAAGCTGGATCTCATGAACCATGAGATCTAATGAGAGCTGTTTAAAAAGACACCAATTTGCCCAGAGAAATAAAAAGCATGTTGGACACCTGGGTAGCTCAGTCAATTAAGTGTCTGACTCTTGATTTCAGCTCAGGTCATGATCTCTCAGTTGTGAGATCAATTCCTGCATCAGGCTCCTCCCTGGGCATGAAGCCTGGGCATGGGGTTCTCTCTCTTCCTCTCTCTCTCTCTGTCTCTCCCCTGCTGGTGTTCTCTTTCTCTCTCTTTCAAAAAAAAAAAAAAAAAAAGCATGTGTTCACACAAATATCTGTACATGAATGTGCACAGCAGCTGTGCTGGAATTATTTATAATTCCAACTTTTCCAAAAAAAGCTGCAATTAGCCCAGATGTCCTTCAATGGGTGAATGGTTAAGCAGCGGTATATCCATACTATGGAATATTCTTCAGCAATAAAAAGGAACAAACTATTAACGACAAACTGAGCAAATCTCCAGGAAAATATGCTATGGCCTTCCACCCTCCAGTTCTCCTGGGTCTTGTGTGGAGTGACGCCAGGTGGTGACAGGGAAGCTGAGCATTACGTGAAAACCTTCCATTTCTTTTTTTTTTTAAGTTTAATTATTCATTTTGAGACAGAGACAGTGCGAGTGGGGGAGGGGCAGAGAAAGGGAGCATCCCAAGCAGGCTCCGCTCGGGGTTTGAACCCACAAAACCTTGAGATGATGACCTGAGCTGAAAGCAAGAGTTGGACGCTTCACTGACTGAGCCACCCAGGTGCCCCGAGGGTCCTCCATTTCTGCTGGTCCCACCGGCACAGAGCAAATCCGGGAGAACCCGGATGCTCTCCTCCAAGAGGCTCCTTTTCTTGTACTAAAAGGAAGAGGTGATCTGAGCTGCTCTGAAGGCATGTGGCAAGACCACGTCTGTCACCATCTTCTCCCTAATGCTGGGGCCCTCCTGGGATCTAGGGGTTCAGGCCACTCCACTGACAAAAATAAAACATGAATGTTCACACTGCTACTTCCAACCTGGAAAAAACTCGGATATCTTCTCCGAGGGTGACAAGGAACAAACATGTTCCAAATAATGGGACATTTAGGTGGAAAGTGAACAGAAACATTTTGAGACCCAGGAAAGATCGTGGATGTTCGGCGCGGCAAGGGGGGGGGGGGGTTGAACATTATTCTAGAGATGCACTAAAATGCCCCAGCTCCTAAGTGGGATGTCTCCCTCCCAGATAATTTCATGATCAGTTGCAACCAGAAAATTATCCTCACGTGGACCTCTGGAACAGTGACAGGATAAATGTAAGGTGTCCTTAGTCTCCTCCTCCCCCATAGATGAGGCCAAAATGCCATCCCTTAAGCTGGCTTACAGAGACGGCCCCTGAGGTTGGCCATGACTTACCTGGGCAGCCACAGAAGGGCCTGATGAGCCTGACAGTGTCTCAAGAACTCCTTCCTGGCCAGGGAGCTTCCTTCACTGTCTCTGGGGTCCCCACTCATCGCCTGCCCTGTGTCCTCACATCAAGAACCTGGCACAGTGTGCGTGATACCAGGGCCAGGGTGCTCTGAGCCGGGTGCTGGCTTCTGAAGATTGGCCTGAGTGCTGGGCCCACCCCAGCAGAGCCAGCTGTCACCAAGCACCAGGTGACAACCCCTGAAACTCACGTAAATGTGGAAGTGATGACACAGGGTGCCTGCCCTCTGAATACCAATCACCCAGGCATTTGCCTCTCCCCCCTCCCCCCTCCGCATCTGCCCTCCATCTGCAAAGCCTTACCCTCCAAGAACAGATTGCTCTTGGGGGTGGGGAGGTCTCCGCGAGTGGGTAGGCACTTGCCGTGGAAGAGACCCTGTGCTGCCCATAGATCACATCTGCCTGGCCCTTGTAGAAAGGCTCTGCCCACACAAAGGGACTTTGAGTTTAAGTTTTCTGCCGTTCACACAATACTACCTGCGACTGCCTGAAAGTCCATTTTTTAAACGCAGCTAGGAAAGCTGAAGGAAGGGGAAAAGCGGGGGCCCGGTTCAGCCCCGGAGGCTGCATTGTTCTCGGGCCTCCGCTTACCCAGAAGGCCCCCACAACCCCTGGGGAATCAAATGAGATTGTTTTTCCCAAGATCCAGCTCTTCAGGTGTGAGCTGCAGTTCTTGGACAACGGTCACTGTGGCATTTCTGCAACAGGAAAGAGGAAGGAACTTCTGAGCTCTGAGCAAGCCCCCAAGCAGCCGCCAGCGAAGAGGAAAAGAGCTCAGTTTCCATAGCGATAAATCACGAGGAAGCCAGCCAGGGATAGTCGGCAGGAGGACTTTACCCTTCCGCTGGTTCTCTGCAAACACATTCCCAGCTCCAGGGTTGGTCTCTTGCCTGCTGCCCCTCCAAGCTGCGCCTCCAGAACCACAGGTAGAGGAAGGCTGCCTGTGGATGAAGTGACACACGCTGAATAAAAACCCAGTAATAGTAACTGCCCTTTATCATAGTGCACTAAGTGATTTTACACGCACTGTGGCCCGGTCCTATGTCAGTGCAGCTAACAGTAACTCACCCATGGTGCCATGGCTGGTTAGGGGCCAACCCAAGGGCCTTTGTTCTTACCACCCAGCTCAAGTTCGTCCTGTTTTTAGCTGGAATTGTATCATCTTGGCAAGGTTGTTCCCTGTCCATTAGAAACTTTAATCAGGGGCACCTGGGTGGCTCAGTCGGTTAAGTGTCCGACTTCAGCTCAGGTCGTGATCTCACAGTTCGTGGGTTCGAGCCCCGCGTCGGGCTCTGTGCTGACAGCTCAGAGCCTGGAGCCTGCTTCCGATTCTGTGCCTTCCTCTCTCTCTGCTCCTCCCCTGTTCGAACTCTGTCTCTCTCTCTCAAAAGTAAATATTAAAAAAAAAAGAAAAAAGAAACTTTAATCAATCAAATCCATACACACATAAATACAAAATAGAAAAATCATTAACATTTAGCTAATGCTGTTTGGGATAAAATTATCCCAATAATGAGATTTGTGGAATGAAAATAATGAAGGGGCTGTTGATGGTGAAAGAGTAGGAATCCCCAGTCTGCCCAGATTTACGGAAAATTCCAAAGGAGCAAACAGCCCTTTGCACTTCTGATAATTAGACTATCAGTAGTGAATTTTTTACAGGACCGAGGGAAAGTAACTCGTTCCTAGTTGTCAGTCTTTACATGCATCTGACTGTATTTTTCTTCTAATGACTAAATTCCTTTAATAAGCATTCATTTCATTGACCCCTCGGCTTGAAATAGTAGGACACAGCTGAAGGGAGATTTAACTTGTTCCCCCACCCCCAGCCCCACCCTGTGACTTAAAAGAAAAGCAAGCAGGGGCGCCTGGGTGGCGCAGTCGGTTAAGCGTCCGACTTCAGCCAGGTCACGATCTCGCGGTCCGTGAGTTCGAGCCCCGCGTCGGGCTCTGGGCTGATGGCTCAGAGCCTGGAGCCTGTTTCCGATTCTGTGTCTCCCTCTCTCTCTGCCCCTCCCCCGTTCATGCTCTGTCTCTCTCTGTCCCAAAAATAAATAAACGTTGAAAAAAAAAATTAAAAAAAAAAAAGAAAAGCAAGCAATAACAAAAACAAAGTGGTTGCAGGCAGAAACAGTTAATGGGTGCCACCTGTCTTTCCCTGCCCATTTCAAACTACAGACCTTTGACAATGGCGCCATCTAATGGAAGATTAGGTTAGGCATAAAAATCGTTTCTTTTACCTTCACATTTATCAGCAGTAGCTTCTTTTAAGCACTTCGTTATCAATGGACACCTCCAGGACTTATGTCACTCTTGGCTATTATTTGTTTCTAAACATATCACTGATGTAAAAAATTATATTAAAATATAGCATAGGGGCCCCTGGGTGGCTCAGTTGGCTGAGCGTCCAACTTCAGCTCAGGTCGTGATTTCATGGTTGGGTTTGTGAGTTCAAGCCCCGTGTGGGGCTCTGTGTGGACAGCTCAGAGCCCAGAGCTTGCTTCGGATTCTGTGTCTCCCTCTCTCTCTCTGCCCCTCCCCCACTCATGCTCTGTCTCTCTCGCTCTCTCTCTCTCTCTCTCTCAAAAATAAACGTTAAATTTTTTTAAGTATTTCTAAAAAATATAGCATAGGGATGCCTGGGTGGCTCAGTAGGTTAAGCGTCCAACTCAGTTTCAGCTTAGGTCATAAGCTTGCTGTTCATGAGTTCAGGCCCTGCATTGGGCTCTGCACTGAAAAAAATCCCTGCTTGGGA